GCGAGTACACGCCTCAGCACTGGGCTTTGAAATGGCATTGAAAACATCTCATTTTCCCTGAGGGATTCTGTCACTGTCCTGGCACTACTTATTTTATTCACTACCTAACCTTGAAGAACAGTAAACAAGTGTTTACTAAATTATTTTAATGCTGATAGCCATGAATCCAAATGTCATTTCATTAGCAGAATGTTTAGCATGTTGCTAAGTATTTAGCACCTGATATTTTGCTAAACAATTCCCCATGCCTTTTTTTAAAAAAAAAAATCAGTTATGCTATCCTCTCCAGTGCCCAACATTAATTTAAATAGCAGAAAAGACAGAATCTAAAATCAGACTAAACTGATTATTTTGCTAATCAGTCTTGTTGCTAGTGTCTTCAGGACATGTTTCCCCAGAAGGCTGTGGGTTTTCGTTAGTGGGCACTAGAGTAGAGTCAAGTTCACTTTTTAGGAGACAGCAAGAAAGAACTGCTATGGCTGGCTGCTGACCAGTAATCCCTGCATCCCCCAAGGCTGGAACACCAGGCAAGCAGGATGACTGTAAAAGGAAGAGAGCACCACTAGCCGCTCTCATGCCCTCTTAGCCAGGCTCCTCAGGCCTCAGAGAATCTGCCAGAACAATTCAAAAAGCCAGGGGCAGCAGAAATAGAGAAGGGAACATCAAGAATAGTACTGGGCATCAGAATGGACCTCAGGGACTTTCTACCTGGGTCTCCAGATCCCTCCTGACACCACCTAACAGGAGACAGCTGAGGCAGAAATCAACTATGAAATGTGCCCTCAGCTGTCTTAGTTCCCCCCACCCCTGACAAAGTTAAGAAAATGCTGTGGAGCCACTGGTGAACAGGTCAGCATCCCCAGGTTCCCAACTTCAGGTTGCCTCAGGCTTGTCTATCTTGGGGACCTTGGACCTACTAGCTTTTAGACTGTCCCTTTCAAATCATGAAGGAAATCATCATGTGGCCATGATTTTCAGCTGCCTATCCAAAGTCTCCCTCAAGGCTGTATGGGACTCTGTCTATATCCTGGGTAAACAGGAGTCTGAGGTAATAAAGTGCAATGTAGCCAAGCAATCCAAAGGGGAAGATCCACGGAGGCCCTTGGGCCCCCCCCCTTCATTCTGGAAGGCCTCCGGTAAATAGTGCCATGGAGACACATGCTGGTCTTTAAGGTCCTCTGCACCAGGCCATGAGGGAACAGGTTCTCCATCTTCCCAATGTCTTTCCTCATCTCCATGGCCCTGGAGACCATGGCCTGACTCCTAAGCCCTGTAGCGCCACCTACTGGGGGAGGCAGAAGTCAGATCTACTGCTGGTCCTGAAGAGTCTGTTCCCACAAGATTACGCATCCAAGCCCTTGCAATGAGCTTCTACTTATACTATGAAGTATATCCCAGGATCAGCAAGGCCTCAAAAACCTCTATTTGGTATCCCCTTGGGCTCATTTAGTATATTCTATTCAAAGACAAGCCCACCCAAAGAAGTTTTGGGTAGAAGAGGCAATTTAAGGAATCTTAAATCTTTTCCAAGACTCTAAGAGAAGTGCACAGGGGTGGGTCCTAGTGGCTCACCACTGTGTTGACAAAGCACCGTTATGCTTGTGGCATCTGGTCTCGCAGAATGAATCTCTACTTAATAGGATATTTAAATGGGGGGGGGGCAACCCCATAAACCATTTTAGAAGACTGTATAGTAACATTCCTTTGCATAACACCCAGGGTGAGATACATTAAGTCCTATGTGATCTGCTAACCGTCATTACATGTATTCTATGGAAATAAATAATTATTGACTCTCTTCCAGTGTGTTGGTATGCTGAAAAGCCATTCCCAGGAACAGCATCTGGAACTCAGAAAGCCCCCTTCCTCCAGCTTCCTCCATGTAACTTTCAGAGACGAAGAAACTGATGTCAAACCTTCTTCTAACCTTCTCAAGCTAAGGAGCAAGCCATGCAGCTCTCAGACCACTTGAAAAGAGTTAATGGTGGTCACTGTGTTATTACTTTATCTTAAATAGTTACTATTCACTGTGTGGCTGAGTAGTTTCAAGAAAAGCACAATGTGTTTTCCCCCCTCCTCTTTGCCTTATCTCCAGCAGATAGGGGACATTCTGATGTTTTCATGTTAAATGGTCGAATATTAAGACATTCACTTGCTAGCTGGCGCCTACACTGGTTAATCAGTCCAGAATAGTGGAAGGCTGGAATGGGACCAGTGCTGATGGGGCACCAGAAGTGAGGCTCAGCTTGGGTATATAACCTCCAGCCTGAAGTCTGAGGACAGAGCCCTTCCCTCCCTCAACTTCCAGGTTGTTTCAAGGTACTGGCCTCTGACCGCCACAGTCTGAACCTCAGCACACACACACACACCACTGAAAAGCTGTGGGAAGGAGATGCATTCAGTCCCTTCAAGCCTGTCAGGAGAGAAGAAAACAGCCACCTGGCAACTCATTTGCTTCTCCACTCTGATTGGTCACCACTGCTGTTCTGAGGTCATCATTTGGCTCCTCTTCTCTCTGCCTTCTGAAACTCTAGCCCCCAACTATGTTTCATCATGAGTTACTAAGCCAGCTACTGCTTTCTTGTAAATATTCACACTCCTCCAGGTCTGTCCTTCCCACCTCTGCCACCTTCCCCAACCCTCCTCAGAAGTCCAGCCAATCAACGAAGAGAAGGTGGGAGGCAGAGGGGGACAAGGACCCTGGTGCTCTTTTACCTAAGAACCAACCGCATCTAGGGATGGAGGCGAAAGTGCTCCTGAGAATTATGTAACCACTGCAGCTCTGAGGGAGAGTACCATCCAGGTTGCTATAGTGTTTGCTGGCTTTCTGCTCTCCATAGGTAGAGTTCCTGGCCACTGCTCCCTCTTCTTTCCCTACATCCTTCACCAGAACCTGTGAGGTTGCTGCTCCTGCATTTAATGTCTGCTCCCTGCAAGGGGCCTGGGGATGATGTTGAGAAGCAAAGTGGCAAAAGAAAAGAAGCAGAGTAAGGAAGTAAGCTAAGAAGGGGTTTCTCTTACACTACTAGGAGACCTTTCAAACTATGGGCATATCTGTTTTATAAGCATGTCTCACCCTCTGTAGTAAGAGCTAGGACAACACTACTGAGTTCTCTGCCAAGTTGCTTAGACTGAGGACATGGGCAGAACCTGAGAGATCTAGCCCACCCCCACTCTTCAAAAAATATCACCCTTTCTTTTGTGTCTCATTCTCTCCTCCTCCTAATCCATCCAGAACTCCATCAGCTAGGAAAGGGATCCGAGGACAGATGAAGGAGGAAGGGTAGGTAACTCAGAGACAGGGGCTGCCCTTATGGCATGACAGACCAGTATCCACGACCCTTGAAAAGTCTTTCTCCTGAAGGATAAGGCCAAAACCCCAACGCTGCCACCCAAGATGGGAAGCAGAAAGGCGGCGGGCCCCAAATCAGCTTCTGGATGAAGACCAGGCAGTAAAGCAGCACCCCAGCAGCCTAATCCGCAAAGGCAATGGCCCTGTCCCCAAATGGTGATGATGGGGCTGGATACCGGGCCTGGAGACTATCTCTACAAGGCTGGCCTATGGAGAGTCACTAGGAAGTACCCTGGCAAGGCAAGGGAAGACACAATGTACAAGAGCGATGGTAGTTGCTGAGGGCGAAAAAAGGAAGAGAACGGTAAAGGGGGCAGAAAGGCTGAGGAAAGGGCATCTTGAGACTACAAGACACTTCAGCTTGAACACCTTAATCACTGAGCAATGTCAAAATAATAACTTGTCGGTGGGGACTGAGGAGGAGAGGGAGAAAGTTTCCAGGAAGTGGGGAGTTACCTGAAAGCCTTTCACCATCAAAGGGGGAGCTGGAGACACTTGATGCCCAGCATGGAGATGCTTAGAGAACACTAAGTATGGAGCCTCAGAGCTAGTCACACCCTTTCATGAATCTCTGAAACCATGAAAAAGCGAAGCCCCACACACCACCGGGTTTCTAGCCGCTTCCATCCTCAGGTGCGAGTCCACACAGGAGTGCCAACAATCACACACTTGGCCGGCGTGGGCTCGCTCGGGGTCAACGGCAATGGAGAGGTGGGCGGCGTTGAGGAGATGGAGAGAGAGGAGGCGCGCCGAGAAGCACAGCTGCAGCCCCCGCCCCCACCCCACCC